TTAAAAAAAAAAAAAAGAAATGGTTCCTGAAGTAGCTAATAAAAACTGAAGCTGCATGAATAAGAATGAAGTATCTAAATCAAACATTAGAGAACTGTGCACTGGTCCTACCACATCTGGAACATTGTAATTATTCTGAAGCATTACATTGTTACCACCAGCACCCATATACCACAGAACATCTGGAGAAAACAAATCACGTTCCTGTGAAACACAAATATGTGGCTAGAAGAAGACATAAGGCAAGAAGCATCCTGTGTGTGTATTCATAACACTCACTCTGTATTTTACACAAAGGGCACCACTAAGGGTAACACAACAGTACACAGCACCTAGCATTTAGTAGGTGGCTCAATAAATACTTGATGAAAAAGGAATATAAAAGATTAGATTACCAGAAAGCAATAATTATCAATTCTAGATGCACATTAGAATCACTAGGGATTGGAATATTAATACCAATGCTTAATTCCCATATTATTTTAAAAGCTTCCCAGATGATCATCAAATATAACAAGAGCAAAGAATTTTAAAAAAAAAAATTATTTTTTAACTGTTCCAGGCAGAATATGTTTTAAGTAGAAAAATAAAAGCACTTTCAACAATAAAACATGCTGACTCAAACCATTTATTCATGAAACATTTACATTTGTGCTAGGGAACATAATCCAGACCAAGATGAGTGTGGCATAGCATCTGCCTTCAAGACCATCAAGTTTAAGAGACATAGCAGTGAAATTCTAGTCACTGGCTATGCTCAGACAAAGCTGTCAGAGCTCAATTTAATAAAAAAAAGCACCAGCATGAGAAGTTATAAGACTAGGTTTGAGTCTTGGCTCTGCCAATAGGCAAACTGAATGATTTTGGGCAAGTCTTTTATTAACATTGTGAACCTCCAATCACTAATCTTAAAAAAAAAAAAAAAGGAGTAACATAATCTCTAAGGTTATGAAATGTTTAAATCTATGTTTAAAACAGTTTCACCAGGAGGGAATCAGCAATTAGTATTCTTTATAATCCAAATGTACAATTCAAATCAGCATATGAAAAGCACTCCTGGATGGGAATACCTCTGGACAAACACTCTTGAAATGTTTAGACAGATGACCTTATCTTAACAGAATAACAAATTTGCAAAATATATCTTAAAAACCTTGAAAATATAAATCCAGTTGTTTTTAAGTACCTAAGCAAAGTGAAATTTCTTCCATATTAGTCTGGATTGCTTTCTATTCAAATAATAGTAAATGTCTTTTTAAATGCAAGTCTAAGATTTTTTCCTAAAAAAGAAAAAGAATACTACCATAAAATGATAAATATCTGACAATATCTAGAACATAAAATTTGTTTCTGTAAACTTTTTAAAATGTTAAATAAGTCTTAAAATATAATACTCTCCATTGGTAACTGATCTAGTAAATTAGGTTTTTAAGAATCAAAATAAAGAACTGTAAAAACTTTCATGAGACTTATTAAAAGAGAATGGGATGAGGTCACTATTCTCAAAGAACTAGATTTAATTAAAGGGAAGTAAATTTAAATTCTAAATACGGAGAAATTCGTTTTTAAAACAATTGGAGCTATTCAATTAATAGAAGAGATTGGCTTTAAATCCTATGCTCCACATTACTAGATGCTTTTAAACTAAGGTCAGATGATCCTCTATCAGGAATGACATAAAAAGAGTTTATTATTAAGTGAGCAGCTATACTAGACTACTAATACAGTTCAGTGAACTCAGGATTCTTTTAGCTCTCCAAATCACATTCTTTTAGTGTACGGACACTTTAAATGAGTATGTCTCAAAGAGCCATTCACATCATCTGTATAAGAATCACCCAATGGTGCTCTTTTAAAATGTATATTCCTCTGCCTCAAAACTTCCTACCTCCTCCACCAGACACAAAATAGAGATCATAAGAAATCCAAAAATGTGCCTTTGTTACAAACTTATACACATTAAAATCATTTAGACTATACTAGACAGAACATCAGTTAGCTTTAGATGTGTCCCACAAAGATGCCAAGAAAAGAGAGCAGAAACAATTTTACAAAGTCTTATATAGTGTTTTATCATTACCTGGTGTTCCCCATTGCTAGGTGCAAGATGAACTCAAAATGACAAGATTTAATTTTTAAGTTCCTATCCTAAACCACTAGCTAAATTCTTTTTTTTTTAATTAAAAAAATGTTTTTTATTGTTTATTTATTTTTGAGATAGAGAGAGAGCATGAGCGGAGGAGGGGTAGACAGAGAGAGGGAAACACAGAATCCAAAGCAGGCTCCAGGCTCTGAGCTGTCAGCACAGAGCCCAATGTGGGGCTCAAACTCAAAAGCTGTGAGATCATGACCTGAACCAAAGTCAGACGCCCAACAGACTGAGCCACCCAGGCGCCCCAACCACTAGCTAAATTCCAAGTAATTTTACAAGAACCTATATCCATCCTTTTGAGAAACTAAATATAGTATGGAGTTATGTCATATAAATGACATATTTTAAAATACCTTCTTCATCAGAGTCAAAGAAAGCTATGATTCTAGAGAAAGCATAGATAATTCTTAGATACTTAATAGACATTCAAAAAGAAAAAGAGCCTTTCTTAAACGAGACTGAGGAAAGTTTAAGTGTCTGAGAGAGTATCTGACCTGACTAAAAGAAAATATTGCAAAGAACCTTGGTAACTAAATTAAATCTAAGAAATGTATCATCTATATGAATATGTATTTGGAAAAAGTAGATTTAGAAGTAAGCACTTTTGAGGGTAAGAATAGCAGGCACTGCCATATTTACCAGGGGCAATATGATTTGGAGGGTAACTTAGTAATATTTTTCAAAACTGCTAATGCATACTTCTTTGCCTGCAATTGTACTTCCAGGAATTCATCTTAGTAATATATTTTACATGCATAAATAATAAATATAAAAAGGTCATTCACTGTAGCATTTTGGCAGTGGCAAAAAAAAAAAAAAAAAAAAAAAAAAAAAAAAAAAAAACAAACCACCCTACAAACAACCTAAAATTACCACAACCTAAAAATGGTTAAATAAATTATGATACATTTATACAAGGAAATATTACACAGTGAGCCACGAATAATGAGGAAATTCTTTACATACTCAACATGGAAAAACTTCCAAGATACATTATTAAATGAAAAAAGATGCAAACAATATGAGCTGTTATCATCTATTCACATAAAATACAGAATAGAAAAGAAAAGAAAAGAGAAGAAAAAGGAAAGAATGTATTCATTTATTTCTATAAGCATAAACTATCTTTGGAAAGAAAAACAAAAAACTAGTAACAATGAATGCCACAGAAGTAAATTGGGTGCCTGGGGCACTAGGATGGGAGGGAAGCTTTACTGAAAACCCTCCTGAATCTTTTGAATTGTGAATCAAATAATGTATTTCCTATACAAAGAAAATAAGGTTAATATTAGAAAATTAAAAAAAGGAAAATAAATAATCATTTTCCTTTTTACAATTTATTAAAGCCAAACAAAAATAGGAAGAAAATACAGAATCTTATATACACATGGAACTGAAAAAGTTTTACCTGTAAGAGAAATTTCTAAGAAATGGTATATCTAAACAAACAAACAAAAAAAAAAACAAGAAAAAAATATAAGAAATAGTACCACTAAAAACAAAAATTTTACCCATGTGAGGATCTAAAGCTTGTACATGCAACTGTTATTAAAAATGGTAAGCAAAGAAGAACCAAGTAACAGTATAATTTAAAGTGTTTCACAAGGGAATTAAAGTTTTGCAATACCTAGGGCTTTATGAAAACTATAAAACTGAGCCCCAAAACTGTTTATTGAAATAATGCCTGAAATAACCATTAAAATATAAGTACAGCATTCTGTAATACCTCCCACCACAGAAAAAAGTAAATTGCTAATTCACGTTATTTATCTTGTGCTCTAGCTACTTCCTACTCATTTGACCAATTTAAAGGATCCAGATCATAACCAAATGCATGAAAAAGGTAGGAAAAAACCCAAAATGGGCACTTAATATTTTTTCTTACTTCAAGGATAACTAAAGACAAACTTTTAGATTTGAGAAGTTCAAGGAAACACCTTTTTCTAAAAGAAAAGGAAAAATAATTAAATATTGTGCAAACAAAAGTATAAGTTCAAGGTATAATGTATCTAAGGTATAATATATCTAAGTGGCTAATTTAAAATATTAATTTTTCTCCTCCTGATAAGAAAGTAGAAGTCATATTATACTAAGTATGATTATAAGCTACCATGAAATGAAAATCTCAACAAAACAGTGAATGTGTTTTTTACCTTAAATAAAGGCTCAAGAGTGCAAAAATCTGGTTTTACACTGATTAATATATTTACTTAGTAAAAGAGGTCAGGAGGTACTGAAATCCCACTCACCAACAAGTATACTGCTGATATAAACTGGCTGTATAAAGTGACTCAGCAATGCTCCCTGTACACCAAGCACTTCCCATCTTGTCAATTTGTCACTTGAAGACATACTGCTTACTCTATTAACAACATCTGCAGGACAGTAGATAGTCAGATAAATTTTGCCTTCAACAGCCACATGGAGACTCAGCTCTTCATTGGCTTCAAATGCAGATATAGAATGTGGATTAAGACGCCTAGAAAAAGAAAAGTTTTATCCCTTTAAAAAAAAAAAAACAGTGGAATATTACTCAGCCATAAAGAAGAACAAAATCTTGCCATTTGCAGCAACACAGATGGAGCTAGAGAGTATTATGCTAAGTGAAAGTCAGTCAGAAAAAGAAAAATACCAGGTGATCTCACTCAGACGTGGAATTTAAGCTCAATTAGTGTTTTAACAAAACAAATGAGCAAAGGTGAGAAAAGGTGGGGGGGCAAACAAAGAAACAGAATGTTAACTGTAGAGAATGATGGTTACCAGAGTGTAGGTGGATGGGGGGATGGAATAAATAGGTGATAGGGATTAAGAAGTGCACTTGTGATGAACACTGCATGCTGAATGGAAATTGTGAATCACTATACTGCACCCCAGAAACTAATATTACACTGGAATTTAAATTAAAACTTTAAAAAATCTTTATGTACTTAAGAACTGGGGGTGGGGTGCCTGGGTGGCTCAGTCGGTTGAGCATCTGATTTTGGCTTGGGTCATAATCTTGTAGTCCATGAGTTCAAACCCTAAATGTCCATCAACTGATAAATGGATAAAGAAATTGTGGTTTATATACACAATGGAGTACTACGTGGCAATGAGAAAGAATGAAATATGGCCCTTTGTAGCAACGTGGATGGAACTGGAGAGTATTATGCTAAGTGAAACAAACTGGGATTCCTAATCTGGTATTCATAAATGTGAGTGGG